TAAAAAGAAAACAAAAAATGAAAAGCAAAATAAGATTAAAAAATTAATATTGTTAATATTGTAACCAGTATTTAAAAGTATTTAAAAAAAAGTTAATAAAACATACATTAAGCACACTCGATTAAATAAAATAAAAAACATAGAAACATGAAACAAACGTGGATAAAATCATGAGGTGTATTTACGTTAGATTTTTAATTTTTTTTAACGACTTTGTAGAGGAATCATGCCAAGGTTGTTATTTTTACGGTTAACGTGATACAGCTATTCATCAAGATCTAATCGCGATTAAAAATAAAATCGCGTGAAATAAATTTCTAACAATGCAGGTAAAACTATAAAATGTGATAAACGCAAAATATAATTTTTCCAAAAAGATATTGTTTCCTAGAAGCAGCGTTTAATTAAATGTTGTGTAGATTTGTTTCGAGCTGAATATAAACTGAAAATGTTTGTTTCAGTTTAGTTAAAGAAGGTGAAATATGAGTACATAAATTTGGGACAAAGAGTATTACATTTTGTGGAATTAATTTTGGAAATGTTTTTCCGAGACAAGTTTTTAATTAATAAAAAAAAAACAGATTACACATATTTATTCTTGTCTAATTTTGACTCATTTTCTTGTAAGTTAATTGTGTTTAAAAACAAATGTTTAGAAGTTATAATTAATCTAATTTTATGCGCCATAAAGGTGTACCAAAACGAGGACGTTCTCCAGCTTTATTAGCACAAGGTTTTCTTTAGAGACAGACGGCGGATCTTAATTAAAACACTAATGCAATAAAAGAAGATAAAATATCACTTCTCAAGCTTTTAACATCAAAATCTAAATTTAATTTGTAATTTGACTATATCTAAAAATAAATCAGTAATGACACTGACAAGAATTAAAACTCTTTTCCTCTAAACTCCATTACATAAAAAGTCTGTTTAAGACAACTTATCAAAATTAGAATCAACGTAATCACCGACATCTACAATTTTTTCCTATAATTGAAACTTGAAAATGTGCCTAAAATTCGGCAAACACCGCATTCCAGTTCAAATATTGACCAATATAAGAGCATCGCTATTAGCACTCCCAAAATAACAGGACGTTTTCTACCCCAATTTAGAAATTCAAATAAGTGACGTGAATTAATAGCAATTTTCTGCACGGTTTGTTCGTGTTAAACACACAACTAATAAAAAGTTACGCGAATTCCGGTAAATAAATTTCCTCTCTTTAATAATCGTGACTGTTCATTATCGCGGAAACAAATTTACCGGAGAAAGCTTCTTGAAATTGCTTTGTGCAACTCCATTGAAAGGAATAATTTCGGGACAAATATACGATAAGTAATTTCAAATTTTAAAAAGTAATTTTGGAGTAATTTTTGAAAGATCTGCGTAACTGAAAGAAATGTAAAATTTACGTTTTTACATTTATTTCAATTAAACTGTATTTTGACGCCTTTTTATATCCTGTGCGTTATCGTGCGTTTTGTGCTCAATTATGTTTATTAATTTTAAACACATTTTCTTAGATTTTAAGCTTTGATTAATTTTAAACACATTTTCTTAGATTTTAAGCTTTGATTAATTTTAAACACATTTTGCTCTTTTATTCTGCTATTTTATTTTATTAATTATATTTCTTTTTTGTAATCTTTTTTTTTGTCTATACAGGGTGCGCTAGAACTCGCGCCCCAGAGAAAAAAACATGTAAGGGAAGATACTAGAAACATGAAAAAAATGTTTAAAAAAATGTATCTATAAAAATTTTGAAGTTGTGAGAGTTTAAATTTTGCATTTGCATATTTTTTCTTTTGGGAAAATAATTTTTTAAATTTAAAATTAATTTGTTTAATGTTGTTTTTATTTTTTCTCGGCTTTTTAAATCCTATCACATTGGCAGTTTTATTTATTTGACAACTATATGTCCACTTTGACAATTAATTTATTAATTAAATAATAATGATAGTTCTTGTTAAAAATGACTTCGGTTTTTATCTCAAAGTTGTTTCTTTGAGTTGCTTTTTATTAAAATTATGTTTGTCACAAACATTTTTGTTATTTAATTTGCGTAAACTCATTTGTCAAAGTGACATCATTGTCAAAATAATAAAATCGCCAATGTGATAAGACTTAAAAAGCAGAGAAAAGTTATTCTAAGTCCAAAATCAAAAAAAAAAAATGAACTTGTCTTTCTACTGAGTTAGAATAATGAAGTTTTAATTACAGATTTGCTGGTAAAGTAAAGCAAAAACTTTTTTTCCTTTGCAATTTTGGCGTAAAATCAAAGACAATTTTTTTTCCTCTTGTAAACCCAATCCGGGGACATACTGTATAAGAAATAATCAACATTATAAGAGAAAAATTTGCGTAAACTCATTTGTCAAAGTGACATCATTTTTAAAATAATWAAACCGCCAATATGATAGGACTTAAAAAGCAGAGAAAAAAGATTATTCTAAGTTCAAAATCAAGAAAAAAATGAATTTTTATTTATTCTGAGTTAGAATCATGAAGTTTTAATTGCAGATTTGCTCGTTTTAGGCAAAGAAAAAAATGCTTTTTCTTTGCAGTTTTGGCGTAAAATCAAAGATATTTTTTTTTCTCTTGTAAACATACTGTATATTACATAGTTATTATTTTGTACAAAACATTTTAAAAAAGACTTCTTGTTCTTTATTATTTTTTAATGAAATAATTTAAATAAATTGGCGTGTATTCCAAAATCAGCTTAAATAGTACATAATAATAAATACATTATTTAGGGTTATATTTTATTTTTTGGTTTCTTCTTTGAAGAATTAGTTTTGTCATACTGCAAAATTTATATGTTATGCTTAATTATAGCTGTAGTATAATTAAAAGGTTTTAGCGATTATTGGAAATTCCTCTAGATCACAATAAAAGCAGATTCCTGAATTATTAGGGACGGAACATTCTAATAAATAGCAAAGCTGGTGTTAATTACATTTCGATCCGTGACACACATTACTGGCTTGTAGAAAAATAAATCTTTAATTTGGGGGAGTTTTTATTGGTTGGTACTACCTCTAACGCTAGAAAAAACTAAACGAAATGTGAAAAACTAACAAATCTGCAATTTATTGCTGTAATAAAGAATTCATCTAAGCACTTTATCTCAATTATGCTTCGACTTGTTTCCATGCAAAAGCTCGTTTTTCATTGAAACCGTAACAAAATACTGTAATAACACGCTAATATTTAATAATCCTAATCGACTCCCATATCATGTAGCTCATATCTAATAAGAACAATGTAAAGCCGCACCCTCAACGCCGGAAGCTGAACAATATTTCGAAGATAACACTTTATAACTCTTCCGATTAAATTAACGAACAAGTTACTTTCATTTAATTACATTAAAGTGATAACAAAAAGATCAAAAAGCACAAAACGAAATGAGAAATAACAACAAAACCGAAATTGGTTGTTGGAAAATTAACACTTATTTGCTGGAGTTGG